TTTAAAATAAATAAACAAACAAACAAACAAACAAACAAACCTAAATTACCTCTCCCATACAAAAATAAAAAAAAAAACACTAAAAAAAAAAGAGAAATGAATAAACTGGAGACTTAGATTAAGTAATTCATTCAGGTAGGACGCATTTGAGATGGGTTGAAATCCAGGTTTGTCCGACACCAAATTACATATTCTTTCTATAATATCTGTTGCATTTCCTGAAAAGCCAGTGAAAAGGGGGAGAAAGAAATGTTTGTTTTAGGCCCAACTGTGTACATATTTAGTTCAGACACAAATACATACTAATCTCATGTAAAGTCCATATTATGGAGGTAATGGTAAATGGCAAAGCTCCTCTTAGGGAAAAAAAAAAAAAAAAAAAAGGAAAGCCACAGACTCTCCTAAAGTCTACATTGCCTCTACAGTCCCAGATATTAATGTGGAGTCTCTGTTAGTTATTCAACAGAGTGCTCATTGACTTTTTTCTTTTTCACTGGGAAGTTATTCCTTTTCCTCATGATTATATTCATTGATAATATTCTACTTTTTCGGATCCTCTGGTTAAAGGACAAACCATAATATACTTCAAGTTTTAATACAATTAAATATTGCTAACACCCAGCTTTACCATGAGATGAAAATGAAGTTTTGTCCGACTCAACCAAAGTGAACACAATGTGGCTTGTGGGTCATCTAGGCGAGGCAGAGCAGTGTTACCAGGCAAGTAGAGTTTTTCTTCATCTTCTCATAATTACTGAACTGTGGAGTTGAGACTCTCTTTCACAGCCTTGCTGTTCAGAGAGATCCAGCAAACAGACTTCTTTCCAGTTTTATTTTTCCATTTACATGTTTATCTGCTCCTTGAGGCTATCAACCAAAACACCCTTCTTGCTTACGAAATCCCTTTTGTTTGAGACCAGGTGCTTAGGGTGTGGGCCCAGCTCTGTCCTCGGGGTGGAGGAATAAAATGTCCACCCAAAGTGCTCTTTGGTGATGGATGAAAGATGCCAAGAATGTAGGAGGTGAGACTCTTGACTCTGTATAGTGTCTCAGTTTATATCACCCACTGAATAGCTTTCGTGTTCGCTTTCCATAGTTTTGTGTTCTCAATTCGACATGTTCTAAATCTAAAAAGTTTTGTGGGGATTGAGAGCTGGCTTTGGATCACTGCCTTGTAATTTTCCTAAGCCACATTACTTTAGGCTTACACCTGGCTTCAGGAACTCGAAAGGATACTCTCAGGGAGATTGGCTCTGAGTTGGCAAGTGGTTTCCTGAAAAGGGTCCTCATGTCCTGAAATTTGCTAGAGGCTCAGAGTCCTGACTTGCAGAGCAAGGGCCATCTTTGTAGATTTTTCCTTCTTGAAGTGGACAAAGCTTGGACTGGAATTTCATATTGTCCTTTAAGGTGTATTTAAGGCTGTCTCTTATTTCATTTGTTCATGCACGCATTCATTCATTGATTGACTCATTCATTCATTCTTTAAGACTTCACTGAGATCCCAGTGTGTCCCGTCTTGGCCCTGCTTACCTATGCTCATCCTGAAGAGGGTGCTGGGAAGAGGTAGGGATGGGTCAGGGAAGGCTTCCTAGAGGAAAAGGGCTTCAACTCCAAACCTGAAAGAGGAGCAGGAGTGAGCCAGGCAAAGGGGAGAGACACCCGGACAGAATCAGGTGTGAGGATGGGGATGGGCAGGAGTGCCACATACTTGAAGAGCAGGATGGCCAGTGTGATCAGAGCATGGAGAACAAAGGGGAGGCTTGTTGGGGATAAAGTTGGAGAGGCTGGAGGGGCCTGGTCTTACTAAGGTAAGTCATGGTAAGGATTGTGGACTTTGTTCAAGTATAATGTGAAGCTACTGAATGGTCTTGAATCAGAAAGTGATCATGTTTGAGTTTGAAACATATCATTCAAGCTACAGTTTGAGAATAGACTGGGTTGAAGCAGGCGTGATAAGGCTTTGGGGGAAGTTTCAGGGAGAGATGGTGGTGCAGTTGGAGGGCTGGCTGGCTGGATGTGCAGCTTCAGTGGGGTTTGTTGATTGACTGGGGTTGAGGGCGAGGGAGGGGAGGAGGCAGTGGTTTTGGCTTGAGATAGGAGTGTTATAGAGGAAGAGGAAGTCTGCCTCAGACAGTCAGGGTCGGTAGGTATTTGAGGTCGACAGTAAACAAATAAATAAACCGTGTGTGGTAAGTTCTAGGAACAATACCATGTTCCTAGAAGTAGTAGAGTGACCAGGTGATTAAGAAAGGCCTCTCTGAGCTGATATGTGAATTGAGACTGAATGACCAGAAGCCACTTGAGGACATCGAGAGAGATCTTTCTAGTTAGTGGGAACAGCAGGTACAAATGCTCTCAGGCAGAAATGAGGTTGCCTGCTTCAAGAAGAGACAGATGCTGGCTTCTAGGCTTGGAATGAATGGGAGACAAGTTATCAGCCGTGTTTTTAGAGAGGCTGGCAGGGACCACACCACGTCAGTCTTTGGGGGGCTTGGGGAGCAGTTGGGAGTTTAGCCTTCATGCAGCAGGACAAAGACAGTGGAAGATTTCCAGCGGGGGAACGGCGTGTTCTGTTTTATACTTTAGAGAATATAACCGGCTGCTCTGTGGTGAAGAGGTAGGGCAAACGAAGAATCAGGGAGGCAAACTAGGTGATGAAAGCAGTTCAGGCGAGCGATGGTGATGGGTACCATTGGGTTCTGGAGGTGGAGAGAGCTAGACAGACCTGTGATGTGCTTGGGAGGTAAAATCAGTGGGACTTGCCAGTGAGAAGGATGTGAAGATTGAAAGAAGGAAAAAGAGGAATCACTCCTAAGATGTGGGCTTGAGCAGCTGTGAGGATGGCTGTGCCATTTGCTGAGATGGCGAAGTCCAAGGAGGAGCAGATGGCAGAGAGGAATGGACTGTCTGCTTAGACATGTTAAGTTGGAGATGCATATAAGCTGTTCTAGGCTCACATTCAAGTGGGCCATTAGATACAAACCTGGAGTTTAAACGAGAGGTCAGGGCTGGAGATGGAGGTACTTGGGAATCACTTGCCTTTGGTTTCAAGTTCAAAAAGATCCCATTGTGTGTTGGGGGGAGGGTATAGCTCAGTGGTAGAGCGCATGCTTAGTATGGACGAGGTCCTGGGTTCAACCCCCAGTCCCTCCACTTAAATAAATAGGTACATAACCTAATGATCACTCCCAAATAAATAAATAAGAAACCTAATAGTCTCCCCCTGCCCCCCCAAAATAACTGAAAGAGAAATTATTTCAATATTTTTTTTAAAAAACAATCCCTTTGTACTTGACTATAGAAATGATCCTAAGGGATTACTTAGCATTTTCAGCTACTTCTGTACCTAGCTGCAAGACTATCATCAAGTTACTTGCTCTTAAAAAATAAAAAATGGGAAGAAAAAAAATGAAAGGAAAAAAACCATTTAAAGCTGTAACATATAAGAATTGATTTTGGGGCCTAATCTAATGATTTGTGACATTACAGAGAGAGATTAAAGTTAATCTAAACCATGAAAGACTTTATCCCAAGAGTTTAGCATCAACAAAAAGTAGGCTAATAGTCCACTGCATATTTGCAACTTTATCTGATGACAGCTTATGCCTGATAAGGGTGTTAAATATGTAGTTGGTAGTAAAATTACGATTTCAACATTAATGGCGACTTTCGGCATAGGAAGCAAATTTTATGTGTCAATAGTATGCAGTTTAAAAATACTAAAGTTGAATAATACTATTATTTTGAAGTGGTTTTCTAGTAGGGGAGAATCTTATCATCTCCGTGTTTGCAGTGGCTTCTCGTCATTCAGCTCAAATCTCTGTGACTCTCACTCTTAGGAATGTGAGTATGTTGTTTGTTTGAGTCTTAGTTCAAATACAAATGCTAATAAAAGTGCTATCAGTTCCTCTGAAGGTGATCACCACCACTGAAGCAAGATGCGTGGGAGAGAGAAGGGCTTGTTTACCAAAACAAAAGGTTTCTCTTGCTTTCGCTTCCCGTGATACTTCAAATACTTGTTTTCTAACCAGTGGAAGGATATGTAGATTTCATGTGTCTTTGGTTACTTACACCTTCATTTTCTAATCAGTTGTGGTCGTGAACTTCAAGAGGGCATTTCAAGTCTGTCTCTTTGGTCTCATCTCTTACTAAGCCAGCTGCTGTGTTGGCATGGAGCCATTTCAAACAACTCTAAGGTACTTTCCTGCCCCTCCCTGTCGGTCTCATGTGAGCCAAATGCATTTTGTTTCATCATCCAGTGTTTTCACGTTTTATTCCCCACCCGCTGCCCCAACTATCTCACGTCCACATAGAACACAGCACCGCGAGAATCCACTTTCGTATTTTCTGTCTGGATATCCCACAGCCTTCCTTGCTTGTTCGTGGATGAGGCACTGTTTTGTAGTTTTATAATTCACAGTTTATGATAAACTGATTATTTATCTAGAAATCCTCCCCTATTAGTTGCCTGAAGACATGAAGTCATGAAATTATATTTAAAGGAAGGGATAAAAGCATTCGTTTGAATATACTGAATTCTCTCTGTAACAGTCAGCTAGAAGGGTGATCTGTGCATGAATCGTTTCATGAACAAGTGCTTCCTGCTGAGGTGGTATAGGGTTCATTTGAAGGAGATCCTATCTGAAATCCGTCCCTCACGTGGGACCCTTGGACAGCATGGCCGAGTCACGGTCTTGGCCAAGTCATTTACCCAAATGCCCGCGTTGCCCTGTGGCTTCTGTCTGCGAGTGTCCTTCCCGTAACCAGGATGAAGACCAGACCCTTCACGCTGCCTTATTCTTACTCTACGACCCTTCACGCTTGTTTGTGAGTTGAGATTCTGCATTGTTTACAGTGGTACAATTGTTTT